ATTAACTTTTTTCTAATAATGTCAGTTTGTTATGCTCCTTTCAACTTATTTCTGCTAGTTTTAGCTTTTTATGCTATTTCAGCTACTATTTAGCAGTTTTGTGCTAAATTTAGCTTTTATGTCCAATTCCACATTTTTTAAATTAATTTCAGCTCTTTCCACTTTCTTCTGCTGGTTTAAACTTCTGTCTTTTCAGCAATTTTTTTTATAGCTATTTTAGCTAATTTCAGCTTTTTAGCCAATTTCCTAATTTTGGGGCTTGTTTCTGCTTATCTGAACCTAATTTAGCAAATATATGTTCTTTCTGCTTTCTTTTGCTAACTTAGGCTTGTTCTTCCATTTCAGCTACATTTCAGCATGTTTTTAGCTAATTTCAGCTGTTTTTCAGCAAGTTCTTCTGCAATAAGCATTCACACTGCATTTTCACAGGAAATGCAATTTCTCCAGTTTAAATTAATATGGTGTGAATGCTGATTGTTATTTCACATGGTTGTCTTTAAGAACTTATACAAATGTTTCCATTCCTGTAAATAATTTATTTTGGCAAATAAAAACTACTTGGCTGAATTTTATGGCTGCATCTCTGCATGAAGTTGTAGCAAATATGCAACGTTGCGACATTATCTTGTGCCAAAGATTACATAAGGCTCTTTGGATTTTTTGTGAAAATGATCTCATGTATTTGGAGCAACCCTCAAATGGTGATTTAGAAATATGCAGATGGTCACCACATCAGTGAAGGTAAAACTGGTGAAATAAATACACATTTATTCATACTGTTCTGCAATTTTTATCAGCATTTTTCCCCCATTGTTGATCTTTTTATTGCAATCAAATAATAGCTACCTTTGTATTTTTCTAGAAACCCTAACATTTCCTCTTTTTCACTCTTTTCTCCAAACATACCCCTAGAGACTATTAGCTATGATTACCAATAACAATAACTGCCATTATCTTTTATTATCACATTTTCCCGAGGCCTTGTCAACCGAGACAAATTTTAAACTAACTATAAAACAGCGTAAGTTTTGTACTTGGACATGAGCTGTGTTGCCACACAATTTCCTTAATGGTCATGGCTTGTTTGTGTATCTGACTTTAATCTACATAAATGGCAATGGTCCACTAAATAGAAAGCGAGTGTTAAACCAATAGAAAGTAAAGTGTTAAGTCAACTGCTTTTCTGTGGAGGGCTGCTGGGAGGTTTCCAACTTGGCATTTTGTGTGATTTTTGTCTCAAGTTACACTATATATTCAATTTAAAGGGCAAAATGAGGGAGCAGTGCATAAATACACATCATGAGACTTTACTTTGAGAGCATATATTGGTGACTGAAAAGCTCAAATTTTCCTGTTTAATTTCACTGGAATGTGCCTTTAGGTTAATGCACTCCAGAGCTTTTTCTAGCAGCTTCACAGCCTTTGGATCAGGACTCCAAAAGAGTCACCAACCATCAGTTAAAACTTCAGATTAAACAAAAAAGAAAACAATTAAAATAGAGTATAGCAACAAACTGAGAAAGCAATCACAGCTTGACATTTCATGTGGAAATTATTTTTTAAAGTATGCACTCTGAAATTTGGGTCTTGCTTCAAAATAGTCTTTCATAGAGGAACTTGAGTAATAACATAAAGGAGACGTATTTTGACTATTTACCGTTATACCAATGCAACACCATTTTTATAGCCTAACATTCCATGAAAAAAATGCCTAACGCCTGCCACCTTTCATGTAAATTTTTAAACTAAAATCATCTAAATTTTATAAATATTATTGAATATTTATAAATGACAGACTTTGGGAGCATTTTGGACAATTGTTGAAAATCTCACATGATATTTTGCAAGACGTGTTATCAATGTATGTGTTGTTATTGACTCTCAGCTACCACATCAAATATCTGTAAAACTCACCGTGACAGTCAATTTTGTTTTGTCCAAAGTCCATTAGCTGTGGCATCCATCTTCTACTGGGTTTTACTCCAAAATTAATCACTTGTACTTTGTAGATGTGCATCCAATAATTAGTTTGCTCATGTTTCATTAAAATCTGTCAAGTGGTTGATATATTTTGCTAACAGACCAACAGGGTTGGTTCCAAGATTTCATACAAATGTTTAAAGCAACAATTTTGTGCACTGAGTGGCACTTGGAGTATGCATTGTAAATGACTCTCAGCTACTACCAAACCAAACTTGGGCATCAAAATCATTAAAAACTGGTTAAGATACATCCATATTTGTTTTATTCAAATCAACTGGCTGTGATGTTCATCTTAAAAGTTGTTGGCTTTAAAATCGATTCAGTTATAGAGGTACATGTAATGAAAATGTCCTGAAAATCCAGCAAATGGCTTACAAGATATTTTGCTAAAAAACAGAGTTGACTCCAAAATGTTAATAGCAAAATTTACAATTCTTTAACTGTTTTTTTTTTTACAGCAACCTTGTGTAATTCGTTTGCACTCACAAAGTGGGTTCTGTATCAGTCTCAGCTACTACGACATGAAACTTTAGGTTGATATCTGTATAATTAACTATCGTAGTTCGTAGGTAATATCCAATTTTGTGTTTGCTAAAGTTGATTAGCTGTAGCGGCCACGCTGTATTGAATTGACGCCAACAATTACCTATTTTCTGGCATATAAGTCTAAGGTTTTTGCATAGATTTGTCAGTCCTGCGACTTATATACTTTTTTCCATACTCATAATGCAATTTTTAACTGATGCTTTAAATTTTGAAGTACTGCAACTGTGAGTCCTCCTGTGTGCACTCGCTTCACTCAGCTGGTGCAGGCAGAGGAACGCTGGAGATCTAGCAGCTCCTTTCGCGATGGATGGATGAATAGATGGATGGCGCCGCACCGCCCAGGTGAAACGAAGCTGCTTTGACCATTAAATAAAATGCATAATAAATGCGACTTATATGCCAAAGCGACTTATATATGTTTTTTTCCTCTTAATGATGATTTTTTTTTTGACTGATGCGACTTATACTCTGGAAAATACGCTAGCAAGTTGTAGAAATACATCCAGTATTTATTTTCTACAAGTTTCATTAAAATTTGTCCATTAGTCAATGTGACATTTTGATAACCGACATTCATACACACAGATGTGTGTAAAACTGTTAATTGCCTTCACCTTTTAACGGCAGACGACAAAATATCATAATTTATTAGAAAATATTTATTAACTTAAGTAAGCAAAGTTATATTGCACAGACAAACTACAAAACGTGCTATAAATGTTGAAGAATTTCAAATATTCTACTGTGAACATTTTCTATAGATGATACTACAAGCAATCATGCTTCTCTTCTGACCACAGTGATGACTGAGCATTCCAGAGGAGCTACTCAGGTCTTGTTAAGGGTTGAACCAACCTTGTTTTACCTCCCAGGAGCCTAACTCAACACCAAACCTCAAATCTCCACCCGAAGTCTATTATTTGTCATGTCACAAAAGTCACGAATCACACTCACGTAACAGTGACTCAGCACAAAGTCCTACTCCAGCCGTAGCTGATCTCCTCGTTGTACCTCTTGTAAATGAGCGTGTTCATTTTACCCACTGTGCTCCATTAAAACCAGGCCACATCAGTCAAGGTCTGAACTTTAAAGGCCAGGTCCCCTCTCCTGGAACATGGGAGAAAAAAGCCCCACAGAGCTGTTAAAGGACCTCACACTGCACTCACACCTTAGATCGTACACTTAGCACCAAATCTCTGTTGGTGGACCACACGTCTCTGAGTCAGTTTGCGACCACACAGTTTGTCTCATAAGGCCAACAAAAGCTCTAGTAAGACCTCACAGCAGACCCTAGCATGATTTCATAGGACTTCAGAGAAACCCACCTGTAGCTCCATAAACCACAAAAGAACCCCACTGAATAACTACTATAGTCTGTGCAAAGTAATTATAAACCTCAGGACTGATTGGGAATGAAACTGTGCAGTTTTATTAGAAAAGCCAAGCTCAAAGGAAGCATAGTCTTCTTTTAAATCCAGATCTTTGTTCCCAGTGATGAGAAAAGAACACAGGAAATGCCAAATACACATAGAAGGAAGCTCAAGGAGGATACCAGATGCATGAACTGCAGGATCAATGGGTAGATAAACGCGTTGAGGCCAAGTTAAAAAAGGAAGAAAAAGGGGGAGAGTGAGAAGGATTCCCATGGGTGGGGACGGGAAGGCAGCCTTGTGATGGAAAGCTTTCAAGCTCCTTTCATCGGCTGCCTGAAGACTGGAACTTTACAAGAGCAAGATGAGCTGGCGCCACTAGAGCTACTTGGCGCTCCTCAATGAAACCAAGATGCTGAGGCAGAAAAGGACCCAATCATCACCCTGCCCACTCTGCCCCTGACCCAAAACACCAGCCCCAATCTGCATCAGCCAGAGGTTTTACTTTGTAAACAGACATCACAGCACTTACAGTATGAAGTTAAGCTTAGATTTAGACAAGCAAAGCAATCCCTGATTAACGGTTGTAAAAGTCATACGTGACTTATTTTAACCTTTACAATCTGAGAACCTCAAAGCTTCATGGGTGTTTTAGGCACAATTTTGAACGTAAACTCACTGATTTCTGTCATGTTTTATCATTACCAATCAGAAATTACAAACACCCCACTATCACTTGAGACTTATAATGTTTATTTGAGGCTAGAATACCATGCCAGAGTTTTAAACCAAGATCCTCTTATGTTGAGGAAAGCTAGAGTTATAGGCGGGATCTGTTAGTGCTTGAAGTATGTGTTGTGAATGACTCTCAGCTACTACCACATCACACTTTAGCTCAATATCTGTACATCAGACTGAGTTGTAACCATTTTTATGTCACCATATGCATCATACGGGTGACTCCAAAAATGAATCAGTTTTAGATGTACAGCCAATGATTCTTTTTAAAAATCTATCCAGTAGTTCATGAGATTATCTGGTAATAGACCCCAGGTGAGAAATAATAAAGACAATACATTAAAAGATGTCCTCCAGTCTTACCAGTCCACACTAAGAGACCGTCTTCTGTAGGATGCTGGTCTGTTTGAGGAAGTCTTCTCTGCTTTAGTTGGTCGTTCTTTCAAAGAGAGACGATGAGTAAATTTGGAGATTCCCGACTCTGACCTGAAAGACAGAATATTAATAACAATTATTTAACTGTCTTACACGTTGATAATAAAAGCTTGTTCGGGTTGTTTAAAAATAATTTCACTTGCACAATTTTTCCTCACCATACGCTTAACATCTATCTACTATCCATTAGATGTGCGCTGTTACAGCGTCTCAAAACTTATCGTATGAATTATTGGGGGGAGAAACGCAAAGTATGCATCATCTTTTGTATTTTTGCTTTTGTTGCCACAAATTAAAATATACTCAGCCAAATTTCAGTAAGATGAGTTTTCTTCTGTAAGAGTATGCAACTGCACATGGTGTAGCAGAGATCACAAAGTTCAAAGTAAATGCAGTTTATAAAGCTGATAGTGTAACAGTGATTCAGTTCACAGAGGAAACATTAGATTTCAGGGAAAGCCACATACTTCCTGCTTAATTTTCTCAAATATCATCTTCACAAACACAAATCACACATTTATCCTCCTCCACTGTGCCGAGACTATCCCAGTTCAACTTTCTGCTCAAAATTAAAACCAGGAAATGTAATAATTTGTCACACTAAAGCCTGGAGCACATTTGATGAGGCTCACACTGCAATATTGCTGTGGTCACACAGGAGACTAATCAAAATGCAATCATTTTTTCTATTAAAGAGTCTTGCTTATTGAGGGGAGGACTGAACAGCACAGCCAGTGATGTCAGAACTCATATCATGACCTTAGGGTTTTATTCAAATTCAACCAAACTCAACAACGGTTTAGCATTGAAAAATAGCTCAAAGCAAAGTGAACTGCAAAACCAAAAATGTAAGAACTTCTGTTTTTTCCTGAGAATCTTTTTAGAAAATGACAAAGGATGACAAATAATGTGCATGGTCCATTGTTCACTTTATTTCACACACATTATGTTTCCATTCCATTTCCATGACTTTTACATTGTCAACATATATATTTCTCCTTTCAGTCTGAGCCAAAAAGCCTTTTAATCTTCATGCAGAGCTTTTGCTGGAGACCAAAGAAAAAGTTAGATTGAGGGTCATTGACTACTTTGTCTACAACACAACATTCGCCTTATTGTTTTTGGTTTATGTAAGAAGAGGCATAAATAACAGTCCACATAAGACTTTAATAAAAGTGGATCTATAAAACTGTTCATGATGACTCACACTGTCACTCTGATAACTACATATTGTTAAAAATAAATGACAGTTTGGCAATTCACTCAGTTCCCAATAATAAAAACTGGTCTAACGTCATTGAGAACCTTTTGGCATACAGACTTAATAGACTCTAGAATGAGTAATTTCTATGCTTTTGTCCAGAAAACGTTTTTGTTGCAGTCAGGACAGATGATATGACCGTGTCTTGTTGAGTTTCATGCTACTATCATTAACTTATTTGGGAAAGTCCATATAAAAAATTAAAAAAGTCTATGGATCAAGACTTTTATGGCATCACTCCAAGTGAGTCTACTGGAAGACTCAACAATTGTTCTGACCTTTAAGTGAAACAGTGTCTTGTTCCATGAAAACTGAACTTTCTGCAACTTTCTTCATAATGCAATCTTCTCTTTTAACACTTCATGATGCTAGTGTTTTATGTCAATTATTACTCCTCTTCAAGCAGCACTATGAATCATGTATCTCATTAGGTTGCGATTGTCGATGAAAAGCTAGCAGACCAAAAAGTTTGAAAATTTCCACTTGGACAGGTTAAATTGGTACATAATTCAAGAAATTTGGGGCACTATAGGCATGCAAAATAGTTTGTTGCAATTTACTTACAAAGTGTCTCAATTATATCTCAACGTGTTCCCAATTTATTCTCAATGTATGCACAATTTTATTATGCTCCGAGGGCATCCAGAATGTCAGACTCTTTTATATTGTCTTAAATTTATTGTATAAACTGACTATTGAAAACTAAAGTGAAAAATATTCCAGATAGGTTCCAGACACCCACAACTGTGTGACTATTTTGAGAGACAATAAGCAACTTTTTAAACTCCATCCATCTGTCCATTATCTTTACCCGATTCTTCCTTTTTGGGTCACGGGGGTCACTGGTGCCCATATCCAACCATCCCTGTGTGAGAGGCGGGGGACACCCTGGACAGGTCTCCAGTCCATCACAGGGACACAAAGAGACAAAAGAGACAAACAACCATTCACTCTCACTCACACCTATGGACAATTTAGAGTTACCAGTCAGCCTAACGTATGCTTTTGGTCTGTGGGAGGAAACTGAAAAACCCGGAGAAAACCCATACACGTATGGAGAGAACAAGCAAACTCCACTCAGAATGGCCTGCTGGCCGGGATTCTATCCGCTGAGAGGCAGCAGCTCTACCAACTACTTTTTAAACTCATACAAGGAAATTGAGAACCTTGGTGAACGTTTAAAGACATTTTGGAACCTCCCACACACGTATGTTATTTAAAAATATTTGTAGTCCACTGAGATCTCTTAAGGAATTACCCAAAATGTGTATTTTACAAATACAAACTAGTACGGTGTTTTGCAGTTTTTGGACAATGATAAATAATTACAGCACATAATGTTTATTTTCTTTTTTGTAAAACAAATTCTGGGACCATTGGAAAGCTTTGATAGTGAATGAAATAGCATTATGTAGAAAACTGTTTTACTACAAAGATGATAACATGAGCTCAAATAAAAATTCATAAGTTTACATTAAAAATAACCCAGTGCTGCCAGTCGACTCTGACACCCTTTACTGTTTCCTGCCTCAGTGCCAACACCTCCAAAGAGTTTGTTCACCTCAAAGAAAAGCATACTTTCCTTTATGAATCATACGAAAAACACTGTGTGACATTCAGTTAGATAGAAGAGGAGTCCTAAACTCATAGTATTAAGTTAGATAGGGTTTCATCTTCGTCTTATGACTTTTAATTAAATTAGCACTACTTCTAAGTGCAGGCAAACAACTGGTGTTGATTTTCATTTACAACAACAGGAGCCCTCAGTGATCTGGATAAATGTGGTTAATATATCAGCTTCTGGAGTGATTGCTTGGATCATCTCTGGCTACTGAAAATTGCTTTCGCTTAAACACGACTAATATGTACCACCTGTGACCCAATACATACAACAAGAGTTTGTTGTAAAACTTCAAACAAATCTGTGGATCTAACACAACATGACCGTAGGAGGTCTATTGGATAAGATGTCTAATACATAAAAAACACATTGGATCATGACTTCAAAGAATATGGGGGCGAGGAGGGGCAATGGACACACAAAAAGGACCAAAGAGAATTTCTTTGAGGGGTTTAGATGAGAAGTGCACATGTGAAGCAGGTGGATCTGCTGCCAACTGGCTGGATCTAGGCTCTCTGAGAGTCTCCACCCCACGCAGCTGTCTCTGATAACATCATCACAGCAGCCACACTACGATGAGGCAATCCCCTTGGAGACCCGTTCAGGACATCCCGGTTGAGTTTCATCTCAGTGGAACATTTCTTTTTTTTTTTACAGTTTAAGAAATCAAATTTGACAAAAAAAATATCTTAACAGAAGTGAAACATCTTCAAACCATGTGATCCTATAAACACGCAACAAATTTATTAGACTAGAGCATGAAGCTTTGGTTACTGTACATACCAGTGTCTGTTCATTTACCACCTCATGTCTCAGCTTCTTTCCCTTAAAATAAGTAGGTGCTATGCAGTGGTGTAGTCTACATTTATGTAGTGGATATACTGCAGTAAAGTTAGTTTTACGTTGGACGTTGGACATGGCTGAAGCCACGGAGCGCGAATGTCCAACGCCCAACGTAAAACTAACTTTACAGCGGTTGGTCCGTATACTGTGTTTAAAAAAACCAAAGTACACCAGTTAGTACAATGAAACCAATTTATTTTGATTTTTAAGCATACTGAACATTTCCAAATTTTGCTGATGCTTATATTTGAATAAATGAACAACAGACTTTGTACAACATTTGGCTTTGTATTAAAAACATGTTATAGAATTTATAAAACAGTATTGAAGCAAAACATGCTCAAGCATTAAGTAGTAATTACAGAAGTATTAATTATACAATAATTTGCTGGATAAGTGAATGTAATAAACAAGCTCTGCATACATACATATTGTTACGGAAGCTCTTAACTGCCATTTAATGTATCAATGACACATGCCTAATGATATGTCATGTATCATTGGGCACTTTTAAGTGGGTATACTGAAATTCTTAATCTTTTCTATTGGGTATACTCTGTATACCCGCGTATTGCGTACACTACACCACTGGTGCTATGTATTGACATCATTGTATGTTCCCATACAATGACAAAATTAACTCTCTGCATTTAACCCATCACACCTGAGATAAACCCAGGTGGAGCAGTGGGCAGCTATGTAAGCACTCAGGGAGCAATTAGGGATCGGGTGTCTTGTTCAGGGACACCATGACATGTGGGACTGGCTGGGAGTCAAACTGCAACTTTCTAGTACCAAGTCGGCTGCCTACCTCTACACCAGGGGTGTCAAACTCACTTACAGAAGGGGGCCAAAATTAAAACCTATTTCAAACTAAGGGCCAATTTCAGAATCTGCATTAACTCAAGTAAAATATCCAATATCTTTTCTTGGTCGCAGGTTCTTCAACAAGAGTGTGATTGGTCTCATTTGATGTTCTCTGTTGCACTTTTGACATCATAATCAAACATTACTGAAAAAAATTCAAGTGACAAAAGTATTTTACGTTTAACATCTCATCTTGGGGGCCAGAAAACATGTCAACGAGGGCCACATTTGGCCCTCGGGCCTTGAGCTTGACACATTTGCTCTACACCATCTAGGCCCCTTACTCTAAGTTAACAAAAAAGTTACTACCGGGTCGTATATCACTATCTGGGTGAAGAAACAAACTCTACTGTAGATGCTTAGATTTCAGCATCTTTTTTGTC